TTTATTATTATTATTATAAAATAAAAATTAAAATAAAGTAATTGAGACAGCATTTGAAAAAAAAAGAAAAAATAGAACGTTAACCTGGAAAAATAAAATAAATTAATAATAATAATAATAATAATAATGATGATGATTTTTTTTTATTAAAAAACAATTTACTTATCGTAATTTATTATTATTATTTTATTTTATTTATTTATCGATGAAATCAATAACAACAACAACAACCACGACAAGAAAATTTAGTAAATTGCGGATTTCTTTTTTCTTTTTTTTTTTAACGTACAACAAACAACAAATTGTTTGTTTTTTCTTTTTCCTCCCGTCCTAATCGTTTTTTATACGCGTTTATCAATTTTGTACATTATCAATATCTTAATTTAAATAATTCATGAGATTATCTTGTATCATCATCATCATCATCATCATCATCCTTGATTAAAGATTTGGAGAATGAGCGGGACGAGAGGACGAGCACACGCACACGCACACACGCACACGCACACGCAGATACTTAGACTTGATTTTTTTTAATCCTTTAATATTAATGATTTAAAAAATAAATAAATAAAATTTATTAAATTATTAAATTAAATATTTGTACGTAATAAATATGCAACCAACTTAATATTGCATATTTATTATAAGAAATGCGTGCTTGTGAGTGTGTGCGTGTGCGCGTGAGTGTGCGTGCTTAAGCAACGAAGACGAAGACGAAACCGACCAAATTAAATATTAATTATCATATATAATATTTACTTATAAAAAATCAGAGAAAGTTTTTATTTAAATAATAATAATAATTTTAATGGTTTTACTAATCCTAGAAAAAATAGGCGACGATACAATTTTTAACCGGGATCGGTTGTTTGTTTGTTCGAAAAAAAAAAAAATTGATCGAAGCGTACAAACGAAAAGAAATTTTTACATCAACGTACGCTTTGGAATAAGGAAATGAAATTAAAATTATTTTAAAAAAAAAAAAAAATTTCCAGTAAAAATCGATGAAACTGGAATCGGTGAGTGAGAAAGATGAAAGATGAGGAGGAGGAGGAGGTGAAAGAGGAGGTGGAGAAGAAGGAGGAGATCAATTAGACTTGTCTCATTCAAATGTCATGTAACCTTTCGCCGGATTCTCCTCACCTTAAATTATCGCATCCGTTTACCTGTTTTTTTCTTATAAAGCTTCTTTCTTAGTTTGCCGAGATAGGAAGAAAGAGAGAGAGAGAGAGAGATAGAGAGAGATAGAGAGATAGAAAGACCGGGTTTAAGAAGGTAATGATGATGACGTTTGTAAAATGTACCCGTGATGATGATGATGAGAAATAATAAAGGTTATACGATCCGTATTTACATTTCCTACGGCGTATGAACTCTTTCGTAATAATAATAATAATAAAAATCGCGTGTGTCGTATTTAATAATATATGAGAAAGAGAAAAAAAATAATCGAAGGGAAAAAAACCTTTTTTTTTTTTTTTTTTTTTTTTTTTGATTATATTCGAGTGGGTTAAAAATTTACCGTAAGAACAAATTAAAAAAAAAAAAAAAAAAGTTTAGATTATAATCGGTGCTGATTTAGTATTCCAAAAAAACTAAAAGCTTTTTTTGGTAAATGTAAAAATACCCCCCGACACAATATATGCATATAAAACTTAATCAATGACGGATGATAATGATAATGATTATGATAATAATAATAATAATAATAATAAGAAATTTCTTTTAGTATTCAGGTGGTAAAAGCAGTTAATCACGGTTTTAAGTGTTTTACTTCTTTTCAAATCGGCTGCATTCCAGTCATTCTGCAACTTTTTATTGTAAAATAACAGGAATGCAGTTTAAATATATATATATATATATATATATATGTACGGATATATCCAACGGTTAACAACCGAGACAATATAATACCTAAAAAAACACAGACGAGTAACAATTTAAAATGTCCGAAGACGGACATCAAAGAATGAAACAAGTAAAGAAAATTTTTTTTTTTTTTTTAACGTATTGATTAATCGACAGATCAATAGAAAACGATAGTACCTCCTACTCAAAGTTTTTTTTTTTAAGTTCGTGAGTTCATCAAGGCCAAAAAATCAGGTTGTGAACTTACTTCTGACACGTTTTGTCCTTTTCGGTAAATTTTCATCGGCCATCATTTCAATAAAAAAAAAAAACCGTTCGCAAATAATAATAATAATAATAACCCACTCGAACGTGACGAGAAGTTGAATGGCGATTAAATTCCCTTTGGTTATATATATATGACCGTGTTCTCATCATTTTTTTTTTTTTTTATCTATTATCGACTTAATTATTGTTGTTACCAGATATCGATCGATCCATCGATCGATCGGTTATTTGCCGTACGTGTATTATTATTATTATTATTATTTTTTGAAATCTTAATAAGTGTATTAAATTTAAAAGAAAAAAAAAAAAAAATTTAATAAGTTTTGTACTAATAATAATCGAATATTAAAATTACATGTTTTACATTGAAAACAAAATTATAATTAAATTAAAATTATTATCAAAAAAATAATTATTATTTGAATGATCGTGGCCTATATTAATTAATTACTTAAATTTATTACGTAGGTAATTTTAAATGTTTCGAAGAAGAAAAAAAGAAAAAACCGGAAAAAGAAGTTTTCCTAAAAAAAAAAAAATGAATACGATTTTTTATTAATTGTTTTATTGATAGTAATAATGGTGATACGTGAGGAAAAGTTGGTACCCGTGCATAAATAATTTTATTTTATTTTTTTTAACCGAAGGAATGAGCTACTATCAAATTTTTCGGATTAATAATTTTTTTTTTCTTTTTTTCGGTAGCCATTTTTAAAGAAAAACTATAAAAAAAAAAACAATAACAACAACAACAACAACGGGTTGAAGAGCGTAAAAAGGATTTAAAAAAAGAAAAAATGAAAAAAGGAAAAAAAAAAAAAATTTTTTTTTTTTTTTTCATTTTTTCTTATAGCGTAGCCAAATATTCAAAAGCGAAATACCACGGAGATTCCCACGGGAAGAGTAAAAGCTCCCTGATGAATTTTCTATTGTTAGCTTATTCGGTTTTTTTTTTCCACCCCTCTTCTTTCAATAATTTTCTTTATAAACGTCGGAACGAGTTAAAATAAAAATATTTAGTTATCATACTTTGTCACATCCGTATCCGGATTTACGAGAAAACGGTTTTTTTTTTTTTCTAATATTATTTCCGGTCGAAAAATGATTAATTTTATCGTGGTATTGGGTCTGCCATGTTAAATAATACTCCCGATTCGGGTGAGGTTTCGGTGGGTGATGGTGACGGAGGTATTGTCGAAGATCATTTAAGTCATGGGTTCTTCTGCTCTGTTACAGGAGAACCGCTGGTGAGCAAGGAGGCAACCTGCCCCGAGCCCTCCGGCGATCTGCAGAGTCGGCCCTCTTCTGCACCGTATACTGTGTCGTCAAGTATGCTGCTCTTGCAAACACAGGTAAGACGAAAAAATTTTTCTTTTTTCACTATCTTATTACATTTTTTTTTGTCTTCCTCCTGGGTAATTCCTCCGTACTGCCAACATAATTTTTGTTTTTTCTTATCACTAAATATTTTATTTTTATATAAATTTCATTTTTGTCGATACACCATCGTAGTTATAAATATCATTATTCGTTTTGATGTTTGTTTCGGATTGTTTTCAACATTTATTTCCCAAATTTCTACCTGCCGATCCCTAATGAATAAATGCCTGAATATCAGTAGTGATGCTGCATGCCTGACGAATAGGTTTCGACCTGTTATAACCTATGATATCACATCATTTCTCGTATGTCCATCACATTCGATGGAAACGAGTTATTCCTGTCACTGGACTCCAGTAACTCCATTCGTCTGTGGAGTAACCAGAATTAAGACCAGTGAAAGCCACTTAATATTATTATTATTATTATTATTGTTGTTGTTGTTATGAAATATAAAACCCTAAACAACAATATAAACTAAAAAAAAAGTGTTTGATTCATTATTTTCGTATTCCCAAATTGTTATTTGATTCCGATGAATTAAAAAAAAAAAAAAAAAAAAAGGACACACAATATGCTGTTTATCCCCTCGTGAAAACAAGGGATGAATTTTTTATTCCCTTGTAACTATTATTGATAATAATAAAATGATCGTTTTAAAAAATATTAAAAAAAAAAACAAAAAGAAATTTTTTAAATGATTATTTTTCCTAAGAGTGCCGTAATAAGGAATGACGCGATTTAATTTTTTTTAAAGAATAATTCTTTCAGATACGAATTATTATTTTTTTCCTGTTGTTGTCACTGTTTTGTTTTTCATTATTAAAATCGTGAAATGATATAATGTAACTTAAACGAATTTGATTTTCAAGGGGAGACCCCCCCCAAATTAAAAAAATGCACGCAAACACGTATTTTATCGGACGAATTCATATTTTTTTTTTACCACAAACGACAGCCTCTATAATTTTTCCTTATAAAATTTATATTGTAAAAAAAAAAAAAAATAATAATAATAAATAGAGAGAGGGAGAGAGAGATGGGAAAGGTGGAAAGGGATGAAAAGATTTAAAAAAAAAAAAAAAAAAAAGTTCATCAAAGTTTCGAGTAGAAAGAATAAGCAAAAGAGTCGCGCTTGGCCGGCGCCGCGTGTTGACATTTATCAAAAAATGGGTCTCAAGAGACGTTCTGATTACTTTCCCGGTAATCCCGCACCACGAACCTTTCTTCGTCAACCGTGACTAGTAGAAAAACAATTTATATAAAGGCGGTCCTAAATAATAATAATAATAAAAGAAAAACGGCCTTCATTCGACACACCACCCGCTTCGTTCTTCTACATACTAAAAAACCACCACTAATCGTCAAACCTATTTTTTTTTTTTTTTGGAAATAAAAATTAATACGATGAGGGTACGGCTCATTTTTCCCCCTCGATAGGTACACGAGTAGGTACGACACTCTTTAAAATACTTAACGCTATGGAAGATTTAAAAAAAACAAATTTAAGGGCCTCGAAAATTTTTCGGGAAAAATACGTTACCCGCTCTTTTTTTTTTTTTCTTTTTTTATTTTATATTATTCATTACATCAATGACGACATAAATTAATATTTTATTATAATTATTATTATTATTATTATTACTGTAGTTTTTGGTTAAAGCGCAAGTCCGAAATAATCCAGCCAATAAAAATCCAAGTTTTTTTTAAAAAAATTTTTAAACCCCTTTTTAATGGGCTCCTCCTCTTTTAGTTTCTTTCTAAAAGTTTTTTGTTGTAAAAGTTTTTGAAAATTAAATTTTTTTTCTGATTTTTCAATATTTGAGAAATTTATTTTTATTTTTTTTTAAGAACAAAAGATTTTCGCAGCAGATCCAAATGTTGTCGTTGTTGTGATTGTTGCGGTTGTACCCGTAGTATGTAATTTAGGGTGTGCCCCTTTACACGTAACCCGGTGTTTAAGATGGACACAAGAAATTCATTGCGGGTGACAATTTATTATCAAAGTAGGTCGGAAATTGAACCGGAACGTCATGCACGATCAAAACAATCGTGAGAAATTTTTACTTTTTTTCCTTTTAATTATTAGGTGTAATCAATGATAATAATAATAATAATGAATCCATTTCAATTTGGACAAAAAAAAAAAAAAAAAACGGAAAAAAAAGAAAAAAAATAACGAGATAAAAATTTTATTTATTAATTTTTATTATTATCATTATTATTATTTTTAATTAAAAATAATGATAATGATAATGATGTTTTATGTTTCGTACCTGAAAAAAAATTAACGTTACGTGAATATAAGAAAATGAAAAAAAAAAAAAAAAATTTTTTTTTTCCAAATGATATGAAGGTAGATGTCGTAATAGATTGTGTAATAACACAATAACAGTTTTACCATATCCTTCGTATATCAATTATTGGCAATAACGGTTTGAAAAATTTTTGTACCGCAAACGCCGAAAGATCACACGATTGTATTTTTTTTTTTAACAAATTAAAAATTATTGGTTGTTTTGTTTTAAAAAGAAGAATATTTTGAGGAAAGGAGAAAAAAGACACTAAAATGATATGCCCAGAGGGGGGTTTGGAAACGCGATGCACGTAATATGGGTCGTAGTAAGAAAAAGTTTAAAAACCCGAGGTAACTTTCCTTTGCTTTTCTACTGCCTTATGGTGGTGGTAGATATTAAAAAGACCATCACGTTTTATTTTGGTCGAAGCCGATTTTGGCTACCGTTAAAATGACCGATGGAGAAGGAGTATAAAAAAAAAAATTGAAAAATCGTGGGCTACCGAATTTATTTTCCAAAAAGGGAAAAATTTAATTGTTGAATAGTTTAGTAGGTAATTCACGATGATAAAAGAAACGAAATTAAATAATTAAAAAAAAAAAAAAGAGGAAAAAAAAAGGAAACGACAGGAAATAGTTTACATGACACAAAATAAATGATTTTATTATATATTAATGAAAAAAAAGAAGTTGCATGCCGAAACCTGTCAAACGTTTGATTTGGTGTAGTACGTATAAAGGGGGGAGGGGAGGTAGGAGGAGGAAGGGGAAAGGGAGGAAATGAAAACGATGATTGAATTGAATTGATTATTTAATTAAATTGTGCGTGTGTTCTCTTGTTTTCAGGCTCCTTTTGGATCGAGCACGTTTGCGGAGTTACTATCCGCCCCTTATTCAGAAGACGTAGGCGGCGAAACTCTCGACCCCTTTCCCGAAGTTGTATTTCACTCGCAGCCATTAAGTCCTGCACCACTGCCCAGTTTTCAAGAAATTTACTCTCCCAGATTTCCTACCAGACAAACTAAATCGCCCGAGTTGAATAATATCGGTATAAAAATGGATGAAGACTATGTTGTGTATCATCATCATCATCCCTCGCCGGCCATGCCCACGACTCCCATTCAGAGTCCTTACGATTTTCATTCGCAACATTTTTCTCCTTACTACCAACAGCAACCCCATCACCCGAATCAGGGATACGAGTCTTCCGGCGGTCCGCAAGACTCGTATTCCTTACCACATTTTCCAACGTCGGAGTTGCACATAAATACCACATTGAACCTCCGTCAGAGAAGAGCTTCTCTTCCTTTGCAGCGATCCGAATCGACTAATAGTAGCGACTCACCGAAACTCCGAATGGGCATGATGACCGGACCACCTCCCAGCGCTTCATCGTCGGCATCGTCATCTCCCGGTTGCGGCGTACCGGAAACGGTCGCACCGTCCCTTTTACCGCGTCCGGCTCCTCAATCTCCTTCTCAGTTGTGCGCGGTGTGCGGCGACACGGCGGCGTGTCAGCATTACGGTGTTAGAACGTGCGAGGGTTGCAAAGGTTTTTTCAAACGCACTGTTCAAAAAGGATCGAAATACGTGTGTCTGGCAGACAAATCTTGTCCCGTGGACAAAAGGCGACGAAATCGATGCCAGTTTTGCAGGTTTCAAAAGTGTTTAGCCGTCGGAATGGTGAAAGAAGTTGTGAGAACTGATAGTCTTAAAGGACGAAGGGGACGGTTGCCATCAAAACCAAAGTCGCCCCAAGAATCCCCTCCAAGTCCTCCCGTGTCGCTGATAACTGCTCTAGTTCGCGCTCACGTGGACACCACACCAGATCTCGCTAACCTGGACTTTTCCCAATACAGGGAACCGATTCCCGGAGAACCGCCCATGAGTGAAGCTGAAAAAATTCAGCAATTTTATTCGTTACTCACGACTTCCGTTGATGTGATAAGACATTTCGCTGATAAAATTCCTGGATTCACGGAACTGACCAAGGAGGACCAGGATCTTCTATTTCAGTCCGCATCCTTAGAATTATTCGTTTTGCGACTCGCTTACAGGTAAATTAATTACAAGAGCCATTTTAACACGATCGAGCAACAAACTTAATTAACTTCAATATTAATTGGAATAATTTTTTTTTTTTTTTTGTGACGTAGAACAAAAGCAGATGACACAAAGTTGACATTTTGTAACGGAGTGGTTCTTGATAAACATCAATGCCAAAGAAGCTTCGGAGATTGGCTTCATGCAATTTTAGATTTTTGTCAATCGCTCCACGCCATGGACATCGACATATCAGCTTTTGCTTGTTTATGCGCCCTAACATTGATAACAGGTTAATTTTTTTTTTTTTTTTTTACCATTATCAAATCGTCCTTATCACTCTTTTTTTCAAAAAAAAAAAAAAAATTGTCACGAATGAAAAATTTTTTTTATTTTTTATTTAGAACGTCACGGATTAAAAGATCCGCATAAAGTAGAGCAGCTTCAAATGAAAATAATCGGATCACTGAGAGATCATGTTACCTACAATGCAGAAGCTCAAAGAAAGCAACATTACTTTTCCAGACTATTGGGAAAGCTTCCGGAACTTCGAAGTCTCAGCGTTCAGGGACTCCAGAGGATTTTTTATTTAAAACTGGAAGATTTGGTGCCAGCACCGCCTTTAATTGAAAATATGTTTGTTGCAAGTTTACCTTTTTAATTTTCTTTTCTTTTCTTTTCTTTTCTTTACACGTTTTTCGCTCTCTCATTAGAACTTTAGAATGTAATGATAAGAATATGGCGATGAAACAAATAATGAAAACAAAGCTCGTGGCAGGCAGGCCGGCAGGCAGGCACGGATGTATATTTTTTACTTTTTTTTTGTTTCTAAAAAAAACAACAACTTTCCCTTACCTAAAAAAACGTTAAAAATTTCTCCAGCATTTAAAAAAACTGCAAAATCATTATTTAAAAAAAAAGTAACATTAAAAAAAGTTTTTCCAGGTTTTGGAAAAAAAAAAACAAAAATTACACGAAATGAAGATGAAACTCGCGAAGAACCGACCGAATCCACCGCCGAGATTTATTTATTTACTATCCTCGGGCGCTAAAACAAAAATTTTTTTTACTTTTTAGGTAAATTATTAAAAAAAAAAAAATCATTTCAAACGTGTTTTGGATAAAAGAGAAAGAAGGGAGGAAAAGGGAACGGAAGGGGGGAAGGGGGTGACATTTAAATTTATTATCATTATTTATATATTCGAACGCGCGCGCCTTAGGAAATTTTTTTATTTTTGTTTTTTTTTTTCTCCCTTTTGGCAGGTACGGTCCATTTTCAATTTACTCATTTGTTATTATTATTATTATTATTATTATTAATTTTGTACGTGCGGTGAATTTATTACATATATTACAGGAGGAATAGTTGAAGGAAGAAGGTATGAGAGAAAATAATAATTTAAAGTAAAAAAAAAAAAAAAGTGCAAATGTGCGCGTGGATTTTTTCTTTTTTTTTGATTACGGTAATTTTATATATAATTAATTAAATTAAATTGAAAAGAAAAAAAGAGAAAATTTTTTTTTAAAGAAAATTTGAATCGATGACTTTTCAAATAAAAAATAAAAAAAATTTTTTTTTTTTTATATAATTTTAAGAATGCGGATGGATGAACTTTTTTTTTTTTATTTTCTTCGTCATTTTGAGTTACGTAAAGGAGAAAAAACTTGATTTTTTATTTTATCGTCACGTTTGATTAGTTTTTTAACAAACACGTCAATCAATCAATCAATCGATCGATCTATCGATTTTTTCTTTTTTTTTCGGATTACATTCGAACGTGGATTTTTTGTTTTTTTTTTCTCTTCACAATTTCTTATTTCGGTCCTGATTATTTTCCTACGTTGATTTATTTAATAATTATTTACGATTCGATCACAATTTAATAAAATTTATCCCGACAGTAATAATAATAATAATGATAATAATAATAATAATTTTAAATTCGTAATTTCAATAAATAACAAAAAAAAAAAAAAAACGTTTGAGTGAAAATTTACCTCGGAGTCGTTTATTGTTATTATTATTATTATTGTTCAAGTCGTTTGTATCTCTTCTTCGAATATCAGTCATTAAACTTAATAATAATGATAATATTTACAAATATAAACGATAGATGATGATGATAATGATGATGTTTATTATTTTCGGTAATAAAAAATTTGCAAGTTTTCCTTTTTTTTCCGGTTTAAATCGCGTAAATTAAAAAAACTGATGGATTTAAACGGTTCGTAATAATAATAATGATTATTATTATTGTTATTATTATTACTATTATTATTATTATCCCGATCATTATTTGTTTCATCGCATTCCCCGTAATTATTACCCATTCTAAATAAAATCAAATTATATAAAATTAAATTAAACGTGTTTCGTAAAAAAAAAAAAAAAAAAAAAAAAAATTTTTTCTTTTCTTTTTCAAGGTTTAGAAAAAAAATTATTGTTACTAACGATAATAATAATAATAGTAATAATTTATTACATACTTGATAAAAAGAAAAATAATAATGATAATTCCGATATTAATTTTTTTTTTTTTCAAAGGAACGAAACGAAAAGAAAAAAAAAAAAGGAAAAAAAGGAAAAAATTTTCCTAACATATCATTCAAAAAAAAAAAAAAAAAACGAATGCCGCTAATTTTGTCGATTTTTTTTTTTTAAATCGATAAATTATTATTATTATTTATTATTTTAATAATAAATAATAATAATAATGATATTTTTAGGTATAAAATCAAATATGATTCAATCTGCCTTGAAATTTAAAAAAAAAAAAAAAACTTCTAAGAAGAGAAAGAAAGAAAGAAAAAACAAACTGACCCCCATCAGGTATATATAAAAGGTGTATCAGGTACAATTGTTTGAAAAACATACATAAATACATAAATTATATTTATTTTTTTTAATAATTTCTTTTATTTTTTTATTTCTATTAAAAACAAAATAAATAAATAAAAGTTATCGAATTGATAATAATAATAATAAAGCCCTGGAGGTTAATGGAAAAACGCAAACAAATTTTTATTTTTATGATTTTTATTTTATTAATTTTTATATTTTAATTTTTAATATAAAAATGACGTAATACGTACGATTATATATACATATATTTAAATAATATATTTTTATATTTTAAATAATAATAATAATAATAATAATAATAATAATAATTTTCTATCTCGTCGTAAAAAAAATGAATTAAAATTTTTAAAAATATCGTTGTTTTTTTATTATTATTATTTTATTTTTATTTTTATTAAAGTTTTATAGAAAAAAAAACGAAAAACTAGTCACAAACAAACAAACAAACAAACAAACAAACGATAAATAAATATTAAGTGGTTACCAAATGATTTATTAATTGATGTAAAGAGATTTTTTTTTTTTATTTTTGTATTAATTTAAACGTTCCATTTAATTATGAAGTATTATTATTATTATTTGGGGGCGAAAATAAATTTTTATTTTTTTATATCGAAAAGGGAGGAATGATGATGATGATAATAATAATAATAATAATAATTATTATTATTGATAATATTGATATTAAAAATTAATAATGTGACTTTTTCGAAGGCCTTAAATAAGATAAATAAGAGAATCTTATAGAGTTAATTTAAAAAGATTGAGGGTTTGATAAATTTTTATTTTGCCATAAATATATATTTATGTATATATATATTTATATTGAGAATTCATATTGATATTTTTTTAATTTTATTAATTAATAAATAAATAAATGAAGTTTTGCACAAAAAAAAAAATTAAATAATAATAATAATGATAAGGAGTAATGGAAAGTAAAAGGAAAGTAATTTTTAAAGAAAATTAATTTTTTCTATGCTTTTTATTTTTTTTTTTTAAATTTAAATTTCATTATAAATATTTTTGCACAATATTGAAAATTTTTTCTATTTTTTTTTTCGGTTAAACTATTAACAAAAAAATAAATAAATAAATAATAATAATGATGATGATGTAATTTAAGTATTAAGAAAAAAATATTTTTACATATCAATTGAAAAAAAAAAAAAAAAATTTATGTATGATGACTTCAATTTATTTCTAATATCTATAATAGTTGTTTTACTTACTATCATTATTATTATTATTATTATTATTATTATTATTATTATTATTATTATTATTATTATTATTAATGTCAAAATTTAAATGGAAAAAATTTTAAATTAAAAAAGGAAAAAAATAAAATGGAATAAAATTCTGTGTTATAATTTTTTTTTTACGTGTGTTTTTTCTTATTTGTGTTGTCGTTTATGATGATGATCATAATAATAATAATAATAATAATAATTACTTAATTATTATATTTAATGTTTATTAATGATAATAACGATGATTCTTTTCTTTTCTTTTTTTTTTTAAATAATTTTTCATACAAAAAATTTTAAATGTAATTAGTAAGCTTCCCAAAAAAAAAAAAATTAAAAAAAAAAACAAAAAAAATTTTAATTTTAATATATTCTTTTATATGTATGTATGTTTTTTTTTTTTTTTTTTAAATTTTTATGTCACAAATAAATAAAATTTAAATGATGATGATGATGATAATAATAAAAATAATTATAAATATGAAAAAAGAAAAAAATTAATTATAAATGCACATTTATTTTTTTACTATATATGTATATTATTTCATTTATTTATGTTATATGTGTATGTATGTATATCATGAATAAAATTAATTATTTTTTTTTTAAAAAACCAAAATAATAATAATAATAATTTGCATTTTATTACAGACAAAAAAAAAAATTCATTGTATATGAAGTAAATAAAAATAATTGATTGATAATCATGAAAATAATATTAAAATAATTTTAAAAAATTGTATATTAATTTTAATAATTGTATTTTTATAATCTGTCCTATTTACCTATGTAATAATAGATACATATATATGTATCAAAATTAAAAAATTATTTTAATTATTGTATTGCTAATATTTTACAATATTTTGTTAATAATGCATTATCACTGCGATTTTTTATTTTTTATTTAGTTACCATATTTATTTTATAAATTGATGATGATAATATATAAATATAAATATATATATATATATATATATATACAAATTTATATAAATTACTTCTTACTTTAAATGAAAATAAAATAAAATAATAAAATAAAATTGTAAAAGATTTATTTGGTTTGTTTGTTTTTGTTTTTGTTTTTTTTTTTTTTTCATTTCCTTTATGTAGTTTTTGCAAATTTTGTGCTTGTAAATTATTTATATACTGTTTGTTTTATTGTTTATTATTGAAAGGTTTAGGTTAACATCATATGAAGATCATTTTCATTGGTAATGTCTTAAATACCAATAATTAAGTTATATAAAAAATATCCCCAGCCGTACAAAAAAGTTTTATTATTTAAACTAATCGCTATTCTAAAAGAGGATGGAGGAAACACTATTCCTGATTATTTAAAAGTTTCTTTACAAGCTTATAACATATTTGAGTTGGAATCAAGTTTATTTTTTCTCTCACACAAGATAAGAAGAAATTAATTAAGGAAAATTATTTTTTAAGATTAAATACATTCTAAAGAAATATATTTAATAAAGAATAATTTGGATACACTATTTCACTCCATTTTTTGGGTTTATTAAAAATTTTGTAACAGAAATTTTATTTTTTTTTTAGGCAAGATGTCTGTGTGGGGAATGCATTTAAAAATGCACTTTTCCATAAATTATAGAAATGAAATTGAATATTTATAAATTAGTAAGTGAGACAGTTAAATTTTTAATAAGTTTACGTACAAGAGTTTATCTTCAAGAGGAAAATTGCAAAAATAATTATAGAATATATTCCTTTTGTAACTGAAATTTAATAAACACATGCTTTGTTTGTCATTTAACCTTACTTGGTTATATTTCCTCTGTGAAGATTTTCATTTTTCATGTTTATTTAATAAATATTATACGTAAGTATTTATTCACAAAATATATTATGCTAAATACAAAGAATTTAAAAAATTTTGTCAATTGCTGTTAAAAAAGAAAAAATTTTTTAAATATCATTTACCACGTGACGAAAATTATTTAATAAACCAATCAGTAATCTACTTTATAGAAGCCTTCACTGGCGCGAAGAATGTTAGGAAGTTGTATAAATACTACGCAATAAAATTTAGTACATAATAAAATTAAAATAATAGCGAGGGGACATTTTTTTAAAAATTTCAATAATAAAATATAAAATTATTTTAAGAGTTAAAACTTTCTAGAATATTTTAACAAGGACGTAATTATTTTCAAAAGAATAATCAATAACGGATATTCTGAATCGGCCATCTTTCTTTCGTGGTTAGAAATCTTGCATGTGAGACTAGCCGGCTGCTAAAAAAAAGATAATCGCGGAATTTATAGGAATATTTTACGAGTTATTATTATAATTTTTTAAAAATGAATCCCGAGGCAACAATGCATCTTATACAAATTTTGGATAGAACAGTTTCTGGAGGTAAGTTTAATATTTTAACAAAGTTACGCCATTTTTTTAACTTCTTGTGGTTATTATTGAGTAATATATACTTGTTATCTAATTCATTTGTACAACATGGGGTTTGATTTTGCCTTTATTATTTTATTTCAGACAAAAATGAACTTGAAGCAGCATTAACCTTTTTGGAACAAGCAGCTCAAACAAATTTGGTAAGTTTACATATTATTTTTACAAAACGGTTTCTGATTACATTTAAAACGTGTATACCATATTATGAGCTTTATTAAATTTTTATTATATATGAGTTGATCACGTTTATTAAACCAACTAACTATTATTTTTTAAAAAATTCTATCATTTTTTCTTTTTTTAATCCTATCGATCTTATATTTACGACTTTAGGTTTAAATAGTAAACCTAGTTTTGACATTAACATGTTAAAATGTTTGACGTTATTGAGTATTATTTTCTAAACATTTAGTTCTGTCTACTAATATCTAAATATCTATAGTTTTAAATGCTGTCCATTTTTGGTTTTTGTTTTTTAATTTATTACATCTTTTAAGGTTTAATTATAATTTAAGTCTTACAATTTTACATTTTAACTTATTTAATTAAATTTTTTATTATTATTATATTTTCTATAAATTTTAGTTATAGATTTAGTAAATTTAGCGAAAGTTTGCAAACTATCAGTAATGTATATTCCTCAATATTAATTATTGCAAAAATTTTTTTTCGTTATTAATTTTATTTAATGCTTTTACCAAAAAAAATTTTTTATACATAAATTTATAATTATTTAAAGTATTAATTTATAGTTTTTTTTATATTAATACTTAAATAAAAAAATTTTATTTAATTTTAGCCAGAATTTATTAAAACACTTTCTGATATTTTACACCATGGAGGAAATAGTCCAGTTGTTCGAATGGCAGCTGGCCTGCAACTTAAAAATACACTCACATCTAAAGATCAAAACCTTAAAACTCAGTATCAACAAAGATGGCTTTCTTTTCCTGAAGATACAAGAGCATATATTAAAAACAATATATTGGCTTCATTAGGAACAGAAAATACTAGGCCCAGTTGCGCAGCTCAGTGTGTGGCATATGTAGCAGTGGTCGAATTACCTAACGGTCAATGGAATAATTTGATTGAAACTTTAGTGTCAAATATTGTTGCCACAACTAGTACAGAAATGTTAAAAGAAGCCACTTTAGAAGCAATTGGATACATATGTCAAGAAATTGTAAGCGATTACTACAGTATTACTAAAAGTTTTTTTTTTTTTTTCCTTTTGGATTCTTTCGTAGAGTGTATTCTAATTAACATTAAAAAAAAATTTAATTAATTAATAATAAAAACATTTTTTGAAACATGCTTTATTAATTTTCTAGGATCATGAAGTTTTAATGGGTCAATCAAATGAAATATTAACTGCTATTATCCATGGTATGAGGCCTAATGAACCCAGTGATCATGTACGATTGGCTGCCACAACTGCTCTCCATAATTCATTAGAATTCACTAAAGCTAATTTTGATCAAGAAACGGAAAGAAACTTTATTATGGAAGTTGTTTGTGAAGCGACTCAATCATACAACACTCAAGTTCGAGTTGCTGCACTTCAATGTCTTGTTAAAATTATGTCCTTATATTATCACTACATGGAGCCATACATGGGCCAGGCTTTATTTCCTGTACTATACTATTTAAATTAAAATAATAATTTGTTACGAAGGAAATAAATGAATTTATAATCTTTAATATTTATAAATTTTTTTTTTTTTTTTTTGGCAGATTACATTTGAAGCCATGAAGTCTGATGTAGATGATATTGCTTTACAAGGAATTGAATTTTGGTCAAGTGTTAGTGATGAAGAAATTAATCTAGCTGTAGAAGAAACGGAAGCAGTTGAAAATGGGCTTCCTCCCCAAAGGACATCCAGGTTTTACGCTAAAGGAGCTCTTCAATTCTTGGTCCCCGTTTTAATGACAAAACTAACAAAACAAGTAAGATTTTTTTTTTTTTTTCATTAAAATTTGCTAAACTTTTATAATATTATATTTTACTATAAGTTATTTTAATATTATTTTAGGAAGAGATGGATGATGAAGATGATTGGAATCCTAGTAAAGCTGCAGGAGTGTGTCTCATGTTATTATCCAATTGTTGTGAAAACGATATTGTTCAATATGTTTTGCCGTTTGTCACAAAATACATCAAAGATTCCGATTGGCGTTTTAGGGAAGCTGCTATTATGGCTTTCGGTACGGTGTTAAAACTGTTTAAAATATTTATTATTTTTAGAGATTTTTTTTTTCTTTTGACAATTTCATTATTGTTTTTCTTTAGGATCTATATTGAGTGGTTTAGATCCGGCTACATCTAAACCATTAGTAGAGCAAGCAATGCCGACACTAATAGAACTTTTGTACGATAATTGTGTCGTCGTTAGGGATACGGCTGCATGGGCTTTTGGCAGAATTTGCGAATTAGTTCCAATGGCTGCTATAAATCCAACTTTCTTGAAGCCTATGCTTGAAGCCTTTGTTATGGGTCTTAAGCAAGAACCAAGAGTTGCTACTAATGTCTGCTGGGCATTTACTGGTAATTAATTATTAATTTGGAAGTATCAAAAAGGAAAAATTTTAAATGCTAACACGTAAGTTTTTATTTTATTTTAATATAGGCCTAGCAGAAGCAAGTTACGATCTTGCCACCGAAGGATTAGAGGAAGGAATACAACCCAAAACATATTGTTTATCATCTTATTTTGATTACATTGTTGAACGTTTGTTAGAAACTACTGATCGACCAGACGCCGCTCAGGTATTTAAAAACCTGAAGTTATGAAAAACGTTTAATGTTTTAAGTACTCAGTTTTTTTTTTTTTTTTTTTTTTTTTTAAAGGCGAATTTGAGAGCTTCTGCTTACGAAGCTTTGATGGAAATGGTAAAAAATTCTCCATCAGATTGTTATGTTACTGTTCAACAAACTACAATGATTATTCTCGAAAGATTAAATCAAGTTTTGCAAATGGAGTCTCAAGTTATAACTAGTAATGATAGAGCTCAGTATAATGATCTTCAGGGATTACTTTGTGCCACTCTCCAGGTACAAACTTTTAGTTTTATTATTAAAAATAAATTTTTCGATTAATTTATTATTTTGTTGTTAATTAATTATTTCTTATTACTTATGAAATTTCTCTGCAGAGTGTTTTGCGTAAAATGACTCCAGATGATGCTCCCAAATTCTCTGACAATATAATGACAGCATTACTTCAAATGTTCAACTCCAATTCATGCAAATCCGGTGGAGTTCAAGAAGATGCTCTTTTAGCTGTAGCTAATTTGATGGATATTTTAGGAGAAAAATTTATTAAATACATGAATTCATTCAAGCCATTTTTCTTCATAGGTTTGAAAAATCACGAAGAATATCAGGTAAAAATAAAAGAGCTCGTTAGTAATTACAGTCGGTAGTTTGAACTACCATAATACTAATAATAATAATAATGATGATAAAATTTTAGGTGTGCATTTCGGCAATCGGGTTAGTAGGAGATTTATGTCGAGCTTTAAAATCAAAAGTGTCCGAATACTGTGACGAAATCATGGTATTGCTTTTAGAAAATTTAAGTGTAAGTTTTATTTATGTTTTGAACATTAATAATAAGAACAAAATGAGAATATTTCAAAAAATCTTTTATTTTAATTGTTTATTTTAATTTTTTTTGTTTTAAATTTTCAGAATGAAAATGTTCATAGGTCTATTAAACCTCATATATTTTCTGCTTTTGGAGATATTGCTTTGGCTATTGGGGCAGAATTTAAAAAATATTTAGAGGTCGTTTTACAAACTCTTTTACAAGCATCTCAAGCAGATGTCGATAAAGTACGTTGAGAATGAAAAAATTAAAAAAAATATCAAATTTTTTTTTTTGAAGTTAAATGAATTTTACCACTATTTAATTTTTTTTTTTTTTTTGTGCAGAATGATTACGATATGGTTGATTATTTAAATGAACTTCGCGAAGGCGTGTTGGCAGCTTACGCGGGAATAGTGTTGGCATTAAAAGGAGATGGTCAAACGCCGTCCAACGATGTTTTCCTTTTGGAACCTCATTTACCTTATATTATACAGTTTATATGCAAAATATCGGAAGATACTGAAAAACCAGATAGTATTCTAGCGGCTTGTTTAGTTTAGTTGGGTGAGTTTTTTTTAATGATTTTCGAAAAACATGAGTCAGTTTTTTTTTTTTTTTTTGAAAATTTTCTATAAGTATGTTTTTTTTTTTTAGTGATTATGTAAGCTACGTCTAAATACAGCATGCTGACCAGACAAATAACCGAAGTTTTAAGCAAGGAAAGAAATCGCGCACACATACCACTAAAAGTTTAGCATCGTGGGCTGCAAAAGAACTTCGAAAGATCAAAACTATGCCGGCGCAAGCCAGCTGGTGAGTTTAAGTATTTAAAAAAAAATTTATTATTTATGGGAAAGGGTGAGTTTTTAATTTTTTTTTTTTTTTTTTTTACGTTAACCGTTATGTTTAGTTTTTAATGTGTGTTCCCTTTTTCGACAAACGAAAATATCGAGTATTTATTTTTTTACGGTTATAAATGACAAATAGTAAAACGTGAATTAATACGATTTATTTCTCACTAAATTTTTTTTTTTTTTTTTTGTGATAAGAGTGATAATCTTTGAAAGGCTAAAGATAAACGTCTCATACGGTATTTTTATTTATTTATTTTTTTTTTTTTGAGAGAGAGAAATGAATGATGATTTTCCATGAATGTTGTATCTCTTTTTGTTTCAAGAATCGCATGTTACGTATCAAATATAGTATAAATGGTGGAGGTTGTACAGAAAAGATATATTTTTATATATGTGTATATATATATTATGCAGCAGCACAAAACAATTTTATTTTGTGAGCATGCTTTATTTTGTGTAAATTGTATAAAAAGGAGGAGGTTGATTGATTGCTGCGTGCGATTATAAATCAAATTTACAATAGAAAAAAAAAAAAAAAAGACAAACCCATCGATCGGATTCTTTTGTTTTATAAAATGAAAAAACAAAAATCATTAAAAAAAAAAAAAAAAGGTTTTTTTTTTTTTTTTTTTGTTTTTTAATGGTTTTAGCGACTGAATTATTTTGATTATTTTAATTGTTTCAGATCCATTTTTGTAAATAAAAGATCCGAAGATGTTTCCATATCGAGCCATCTAAATTTTCAATACCTAGCTGCAAATAAACCCCACCCCACTCTGAACTAAAAAAGAGACGAGAGTGAAGAGTGTGTGTTTTTTCGTGACGTGTAAGTTTCAAAGAGTGTCTTAAAAATCTTTTTTTTTTTTTTTTTTTTTTTTTTTTTTTCTCTCTTTATCTTCAAACAAACAAGCAAACAAACAAAAAAAAAAAACAAAAAAAAAAAAGAAAAAAAAATACTAAAAAGAAATTTTTTCCCAAAAAAAACACAAAAAAAAAAAAAAAGAGAAAAAAAAAGTAGAGAAATAAAAGAAAAATTGGAAAAATTACACTTTTTTGTTTTTGGATGATAACTTGATGATGATGATGATGATGTGATTGATGATGATGATGATGATTATGATGATGACAAAATGGTTTGATGATGTGTCGGTGTTTATGTGATGATAATGAGATGTTGAAAGCGTCAGTGCGCGTGTCCGTTTGTTGTTTTATTATTATTATTATTATTATTATTATTATTTAAAGCACGAAAGGTTTGATTATATATATATATATATATAATATATAAAAATATAAAAGAAAGAAAAAAAAAATGTATTGACTGACGGTGTGTTAATGATGATGATGATGATGATGTTGGTGATGATGGTGATGGTGATGGTGATTATGATGATGATGATGATGATTATGATGAAAATGATGATGAAAATGATGATGATGATGATGAATATTATGATAATTAATATAACTTGGCGCTATGATGTCGTCTTCTAGATGAATTCAATGAATGACTGAAGAAGTCTGGATGCCGCGTACCTGCAGGTCAGCGTAATGCTTCATTATATGATGTGTAATTGTAATAATTTCTTTTTTTTTTTTTTTTTTTTTAATAAAAAATTCAGAGTAAATGTCTTTTATATATATACACACATATATATATATATATATATATATATAAAATGAATCGATGCGAATGATTTTTTTTTTTTTTTTTTTTGTAATTTGAATAACTAACAATAATAATAATAATAATAATAATAATAATAAAAAAGAAAAAACTTTTCCAATAGGTTAGAGAATAATAATCGAATAATCCTTCTTGTCTGCCGTGCATTTGAATTGTATAATTGTGATGTGTTTTGTTTTGTGAAAATTTTTTTAATTGCAAAATTTAATACACCCAAAAATTTATTATCAATATCATTATTATTTTTAAATGATTAAAAATCTTATTCGCCAAATTTTTTTTGTTTTGCTCTTTATTATTTATGTAAATTAACAATAGAAAAAAATTTTTTTTTTTTTTTCGGGAAACGCTCCGTCCAGAGACATGTTAATAAATCGAGGATAAAATAAAAACAATCAGGCAAGAAGGTTAATTCGAAATTTTTCATTTTCTTTTCTTATTATTATTATTATTATCATTATTATTTTGTATGCCTTGTTTGAGAGAGAGAGAGAGAGAGGGGGAGGAAGGTGGGGGAAGGGGGAGGAAAGAAAAGAAACGAATTTTTTTTTTTTTAGTCAAAAGAATTGTTTTATGTATTTGTCATTCGAATTATGTAGAAAAAATAATTTTAATTAAAAATGGGAGGAAATTTTTTTTAAAGATTCGATTCGATTTTATAAAATAAGAAAAAAAAAATTCTTTTCTTTTTTTTCCTCAGAGTAAAACAAGGTAAAAATTATGTTTTATTTATTTTCCAATTAATTTCAGGTATAAATTATTTTAGTTACGGGTATTTATTTTATTTAGGTATTCATAAATTCGATTCGGTAAATTTTTTATTTTTGCGCCAAAAAAAATCGTGAACCGGAGGGGGGAGGGGAGGGAGGGAAAAGATGGGAGGAGAGGGGGGAAGTACAAAATAATTACTATTAGAAATTAATTGGAAAGTAAATAAATTTATTATTATTATTATTTGTTTCAAAAAAAAAGGTTTTTTATTCCTACGAAAGACTGACAGAAGTTTTTTTTTAATGCTCAAAAAGTAACGTGAAAGGGCGAAAATGATTGATTGATTGATTGATTATTAAAATAAACAAATCGTCGTGCCATTTTTTTTTCGTTTTTTCTTTTTAAATAGGATTTTTTTTTTAAATAAAATAAAATAAAGTCTTCGGTTACAAATTTTTCTTTAAAAAAAAAAAAAAAATTTTTTTGAACAAGGTAGTAGTCGAGACAGAAGAAAATTTCGTCTGCTGTAAAAAAAAAAAAAATTTTCTTTTCTTTTTGGACGTTTTCTGTGGATTTTTAATATTTAAATGTCTGATTTTATTGTTTTTTTTTTTTTTTTTTTTTTAAATAAATTTTACTACAAGTGGGAGGTGGGTGGGGGAAGAGGCGGGTGCCAGGGGGAGAGAGAGGGAGGAGCACGGAAAATATTTTTTACAAAAAATTTAATAATTTTAACCGCGAAAATTTAATTTAAATATTTTAAAGTCCACACAAAACGTCAATTTTATTAACAAAGAAAAAAAGAAAAGAAAATTTTTTTTTTTTTTTTTTTTCCGTTACAATTTCTAATTAGATTTAAGAAATTGTGACGCATACCAAATTGTTTATAAAAAATTAATTAATAAATAAAAGGTTCATTATGTCTCTCTGTCTGTCTGCTACCTGTCGTCTGCTGTGATTTTATGAGAGTGTTTGTTATGAAAAAAAAAAAAAATTGTCGCACAAAAACTATTTCCGCTCTTTTTATTTTTTTATGTAAAATTAATTTATATTAATTAATAATGATATCATCATCGTGTACACTCTCTCAAAAAAAAACAATTTAAATTTAAATTTTTTGTCTGTCTGTCGGACATGTTTATATTTATGATTTCTCTCACGGGGCAAAAATAAATTTTAAAGGGTAAAATAATAAATTTTTTTTTTTTTAATTAAAATTTTTTCTCAATGGGTGTTAATTTAGAAATTTTTTTACGAATATATGTGTATCATAAATATATATATATATGTGTATAAAAAATGCATAGGTTGACTTTCTTTGTACACCGATTTATTGTAAAGTTTTTTTTTTTTTATATAAATGTAATTATTTAAACATATTATACGTATACATATACATTTTATATGTACGTATAAGAATAAGGTGTAACAAAACGTATGCATGTAAATATACAAATATATATATATATATATAAAAGCGAGTGTAAATAAATAATAATAATGTAAGTTAGTTATTTGAGACTGATTCTAATGATGATTATTAATATTTGTTAGATGTGTGTGTGTGTGTGTGTATGTGTGTGTTTGCATAAATGTGTCAAAGTGTGTATGTTTTCATTTTGTAATGATTAAAAGTCACGAATGAATGAATGAATGAATGAATGAATGGTAGATGATGATGATAGATTGTAGTGTTGTTGAAAATGTATTTGAATGCATATGTGTGAGAGAGAGAGAGAGAGAGATGTCTTTTTTTTTTAGCGAATTGTTGAACAATATAATTATTATTAAATGATAAAATAAATAAATAAATAAAATAAATAAATAAATAAATAAATAAAAATGAAAAAAAATAAATAAAATAAAAATAAAAAAAAAAATGGAAAAAAAAAAATTGAAAAAATGAAAAGTTTAAGTGTGGCTGTGAATGATTCTCTATTTTTTTTATGAATGTTTTTTTTTTAAAAAAATAATCGGTGGTATTATTATTATTATTATTATTATTATTATTATTATTATTATTATTATTATTATTATTATTAGTTTGTTGTAAAATGTTTTTTTTCTATATATTATTTGAATGAATTTCCGAATGTCAGAGAGTATTTTTTTCTATATATATGTGCCTGATAGCGAGGAGCGAGAAGAGCGAAAGGGTTGTTTGTTTCTCTCTTGTATTAATCCGAAATGAATGAATGATTGATTGATTGATTGATTGATTGATTACGAATGAATTTGCTTCGTGCATTACAGAATTGAATGATTAATAAGGGGATTGAATGGAAAAACGAGAAGGGAAATGAATATAGTAATTTTTATTATTATTATTATTTTTTTTTTAAATTGTGAAATCACGAAGCAAATTTTTCTTGTTTTTTTTTTTTTGTTTGTTTCATTTATTCATTCATTCATTCATTTCGGCGTTGAAAATTTAAAAGAAACAAACAACAAACAATCAATTATTATTATTATTTTTTAAATTGAAAACAATACAAGGGGTGGGTTGTTGTATGAATTATTAGCTTCGAATGATTTTTTTTTTTTTTTTTGGTGCTGAAAGAAGAACACAGCAATTTTCCAGTTTTTCACTTTTTTTTTATTTACAATAATAATAATAATGATAATGATAATAATTTTTATTATTAATAATATGTTTGCATTATTATTATTATTAATAACATAATTGTATTATTTAATAAGTTTTAAAAATTATGATTAATGATTTGAGATGGCCCGAAATCGAGAAGTTTTGAATTGAGGGTTGAAAAAAAAAATTTTTTTTTTTTTTTCTTTTTCTTTTTTTTCTTATTCTTATCCGCAGTTAGGGTGAATGTAAGTAACCAAGTTAGTGAAAATTGTCTTGTCCATTCCCATTTAATAATAATAATAATAATAATAATAATAATGATAATAAATTTTAGTTTTTATAATCGATTTTTATTTTGTACGTATGTGCATCCCCTGCTTACATTTTACTATTATTATTATTATTTTAGTTTTTTTTAACTTAATTTAAATTACTCGGTGGAAAAATCATGAGATAAGGTATAATAATATCGTTTTGAAAAGAAAATTTAAAAAAAAAAAATTTTGTGAAAAGATTATTATTATTATCATTATTATCATTATTATTATAATTATTATTATTTGTACCGCTTTAAATTCGATTGGGCTTTTTGTTTTTACGCTACCACTTATATATATATATATATTTAACAACGTATTATTCATTTTTAAATTTAAAAAAATTATTATTATTATTATTAAAATTTTAAAATTAATTATTTTAATTTAATTTTTTTTTTTTTTTTTGGTCTCTGATTAGTCCACTTATTGTATCTTTTTTTTTTCAATTATTATTATTATTATTATTAATTTTTTTTTGATTTATCATGTTCAAAAATGGCTCAATTAAACGAAAAAAAAAAGTTAAAAATTTTTTTTTTATTTTTTTTTTTTTATTAAAAAAAAACCTTTTAAATTTACCTTGACGTGTTGTATGGTAATAATAATCTTCTGCTTCTACTTCTTCGTCTTCTGCTTTTTTTTGTGTGTGTGCGTGCGTGCGCGCGCGTGTGCGTAAAAATTAAATTTCCTTAAACGATGATGAATTTTTTTTTTTTTTTTTTGAAAACAAGAGAATAATTTTTGAATGATTGAAACGGGATTTAATTAAAACGTTTATATTGATCTTATTATTATTATTGTCATTAAAAAATTTGATTGATTGATTGATTGATTGACTAACGATAATAAAATTTTAATTTTGAGTCGTTTGCATAAAAAAAAAAAACAAATTTCCCACGGTTTTAACATTATTCCCCCACGACTTAATTAATTAATTAAATGAGGATTTAAATGAAAATGTTTTATTTTTTTCTATTCGTAGTCATTCATTCATTCATTCATTCATTCATGGAATCATTCAAATTTTAAATTAAAGTAAAAATGATTAACTTACAATTTAATAAGATTTTTGTTTAGTGTTGATACCGTATGCGACGTATTACCTTTCTAAGGTTTCACTCTTCGGGGGTTAGAATGACCGTCAAAAAAGGTCTTTTGAGGGTCGTTCGCCGTTCGAACGGCCATTTTCAGAAATGCCATCAACAAAATCGTCGTCAAACGTTAAAAATTTTACTACTACTACTACTCACGTGAGTATTAAAAAAAAAAAAAAAACGAACGACTGTTGATTAGTTTTTGTAGTTTGTTGTTGTTTTTTTTTTTTCCTTTATCATTGTTTCATGATGATGAGGGAGGGAGGGAGGGGAAGGTGAAAGAAGGGAGAGGGCACAGGGAAGATAGGGAGGAGGGAAAAAAAAATTGTTCGGTTCGGGTTTGCAATTTTATCGATTTTAGGATGGTTTGGATTTGGATGATGTTCTCCCGGAAATTGGAGAATTTGGAAAATATCAAAAATACTTGTTTTGGTTTGTTTGCCTACCGGCGTGCATTCCATGCGGATTCTGCGCTTTTAATCAAATATTTATGTCGGGAGTTCCTGAACATTGGTGTAAAATCCCTTCGCTCATGAATTTACAACCTGAAAAAAGGAAACAATTAGGAATTCCTCTCGAGGTTATTATTATCATTATCTAACATTTTTTTATTTATTTTTTTTGACTTGAAAATTAATTAATTTTTTTTTCATTTGTTTAGGATGAGGAAAATCACATCTACAGCAGTTGCTTTAGATTTAATTTAAGTTGGATCAATTTTACATTTTTAGATGATTATGAAAACATGTCTGACGTCACTTCTTCTTCCGGTAAAAATGTTGAACCTTGTTTTGACGGTTGGGAATATAATAAATCAACAATTGAATCATCCGTTGTCGTTGATGTAAATAATTAATTTTTTTTTTCTTTACAATTATTTTTCCTTTGAGTTTTCTTCTGCTTTTTACTGGATTTAAGTGTGTGTATAAATTTTCAGTTTAATCTTGTTTGTGAAAAAGATTTGTATCCAACGATCGGTTTGTCTGCTTTAAATGCTGGAGGTCCGATCGGTGTTTACATTTTTGGAATATTGAATGATAAGTGAGTCATTCATTTTTTTTTTTTTCTCATTTTGAAAATGTCATTAAAAAATTTCTTTTTGTTTTAGAATCGGTCGTAAGTTTTCTTTTTTTGCTTGTTTGGCCATTCTTTTAACCGGAGGAATTCTTACGGGTGTCTCATCTAATTTTTGGCTCTGGGCTTGGAGTAGATTTATCGTCGGTTTAACAGTTCCAGCCATTTATCAGATTCCATTTATTATATGTAAGCTTATTCTTTTATTATTATTATTATTCAAAACTCGGGTTTGTATTTTTAAAAATTAATACACTTTTCCAGCACTGGAATTAGTCGGACCCAATTACAGAGCTTTTGTAACTGTTTTCACATGTTTGGCATATACATTCGGTTTGATTCTTCTCTCCGGCGTGGCATACCTTTTACCAGATTGGAGATTGCTAGCATTTGCAACATCCGTTCCGTTTCTTTTGTACTTCGGATACTGGTTGTAAGTTTGTAAAAAAAAAATTTTTAATTTTAATTTTTATATTTATTTCGACTGATTTGTATAGGAATTTTTTTCCCCATTTTTTTTTCAGTTACTTACCGGAGTCGCCGAGATGGTTGATAACCAAAGGACGATTCGACGAAGCTCTTCTCATTTTAGAAAAAATTGCTCAGACAAATGGGAAAAAATTACCGGAAGCATTTAAAACGTGTTTAAAAGTAAGTAAATAAATTATTAATTATCTAGAAGAAAAAAAAAGTTTAGAGCTATCCGATTGACGGGGGGGGGGGGGAGAAAAAAATAATTAATTCGAAACTGCTATTATTATTATTATTATTTAGAGAGAAATGCTTTCAAAAACAATGAGCGAAGAAAATAAAAAAAATAAAAAATGGCCGAAATTTGGTGATCTTTGTTTAACTCCAAATATGCGTCTCAAAACGATACTCATTACTTTTAGTTGGTAAATAAATAAATAAATAAATAAATAATTTAGTTTTTATTCGCGCGCATGCGTTATTCAATGCAAAATAATTTTCCAGGTTTGCCAACGAAATGGTTTACGTTGGTTTGAGTTACTATGGTCCCTCATTGGACACCAATGCTTATCTTAGTTTTTTTCTATCAGCCGTAGTTGAAATTCCAAGTTATTTGGGGTGTTGGGTTGTAATGGATCGATGGGGTCGAAGATGGCCACTGTGTTTGTGTATGGTTATAAGTGGAATTTGTTGCATCGCGACAGTTCTTATACCTCCAGGTTTTCCTCCCCCCCTTTTTTCTCTGAATATTATTCATTGAGTTTTCGTCAAACGATTACCATTAAAAAAATTTTTATTTTAGATTATACTACCTTGACATTGGTTTTGTATCTCGTATCGAAATCGGCAATTTCCGCTTCCTTTCTAATAATTTATCCATTTGCCGGAGAACTTTATCCGACGCAATTGAGAGGAATCGGAATCGGTACTTCCGCTTACGTCGGCGGATTAGGATTAATAATCATACCTTTTATTAATTACCTGGTAATTGACGCGTTTCTTTTATTTACAATGAGTTTATTTCATTTTGTAAATGAATTTCTTTCGATCAGGGACGTGAAAATCTCATACTTCCGTTGCTAATAATGGGAATCGTATCCGTAATCGGTGGACTCACGAGTTTAAGACTACCGGAAACTCTTCGTCAAAAATTACCACAAACGATATTAGAAGGAGAAGAATTTGGTAAAAATTGGACATTGAAAAATTGTTGGAGTTGCGTTCCGGAAAGGTGTGATATAAAATTATTAAAATGAAAATTTTTATTTTAAAAAATTTTTAAAAAACTTGATTGATTTTCCGTTTAGTTCGACTCCGAACTCTTACGAAGATTTAAGCAAGGATGATTTCCAGGAAGAAATTGAAATAAAACCTCCTCTGATAAGAAAAGCGAGTCGTTTAATCAGGGAAAGTAGCGTTATGGAAACAAATTTAGATTCTTCTGGAATAATGCAAATGACTTATTGGTTTTAGTAGCGATGATAATAATAATAATAATTATTAAAATCGACATGTTGCATCATCGTCATCACTCGCGATTATAATTTATTTTATTTATTACGATCGGAAAAAAATGGATAAAAATAAATTTTATTTCTGGATAAAAAAAATAACGATAATAATTATTATTAATTTTCCTGGTTTCCTGATATAAAAAAAAAAAATTATCAGGCAACGATAATTTTGGTTTATAGATAAAAAAATTTGCGGTTTTTCAATCGAATAAATTATCATTATTTAATTTTTTTTTTTTTTTTTTAACAAAACATAAATATTAATAACCGCAAAATGATAATGATATCATTTACGTGGAAATTTTATAGGGGGAAAAAAAAAGTACAAAAGTTTGTTTTTTTTAAAAAATATTTTCAGTCGGTGTTCAAGTTGTCGGTGAAATAATAAGTGAATGATAAAAATGAATTTTTTTATTTTTATTACTTTTATTGTTTTGAGTAAGTTTTATTATCATTATTTATAATTTTATTATTATTATTATTGTTTTAATAAATACAAAAAAAAATTTTTTTTTTATTTTTTACAGCGTTAAACGTTTCTTTATTTAAATGTCAAAATAATAGAAATCAAGGATTGTGGGATGGTCAACCTCCAAGAAGATTCGAATTCGATCAATCTTTGTTTAACGGTTTCGATAGCAATAATCGATTCGATGAAGATTACGATGTCGGAAGTATCGGAGACATAAGCGAAAATAATAATAATAATAATAATAATAATGATTTTTTTAGACCTGTTGTTGACGATAGCTTTTTTAGAAATGATTTAACCGAGGAAAACATGTCAAATTCGCAATCGAATTTATTAGGCGGTAATAATAGAAGAAGGAGGCAAAAAAATCGTGGAAGAAATCAAAGTCGGACAACGACAACCACAACAACAAGAACAACAACAACGGCCGAACCGAGGACAATTCACGCATCGCCAGAAATGTGTCCTTGTTCGTCAACTCCGCAATTTAATCCTGTTTGTGGAAGTGATGGTAATACGTATAAAAATGCCGGATTACTTAACTGTTACAGACAGTGCGGAATTAGTAAGTTTTATCATTATTATTATTATTATTTTCCTTTTTTTTTTTTTTAATTTTTATCCCTTTCGTATATAAAATACCAATTATTATTATTATTATTTTTAGATGTTTTTCAAAAGCGAATGGGAGCCTGTTAAATCCAAATATTTAAAAAAAAAAAAAAAAAAAAATTTTTTCTATTAATATTTTTCGCATTAAAAATTTACATTATTATTATTATTATTATTTTATTTTATTTTTCTCTTCTATTAACATAAAATTTTAAATAATGTTTCTCTGTTTTTTTGTTTGTTTGTTTGTTAATCTTTAACAAATTCTTTCTTTCGAATTTTTATTGAAAAAAAAGGAAAAATTGTTTTTCTTAAATCAATTTACATTTTTATATAAAAAAAGGAAAAATTTGTTATTATTATTATTATTATTATTATTATTTTTCTAATTTCGTACGCGATTACAAATGTAATTTAAATTTTTTTCTGTTTTTTCAATTTTCATTTCGATTGATAATAAATATTTTATATTATTATTATTATTATTATTATTATTAAAAATTTTATCGAAGCAACAGAAAAAAAAACAATTTCATTTCATTTTTTATCATTTATACAATTTAATGTGTTTTCGCGTTATGAAAAAAAGGAAAAGGAAGGAATAGTATTAAATATTCACGAGAGATGGCGTTTACCGTGTATAAATCAGTGACAAATTAAGGGTTATTAATTTTTTTTAAAAAAAATGACTTTTTAAAAATAATTGCCAGAAACTATTCAATATAATGGGGGTAGGGGAGGGGAGGGAGTGAAATGAAATCCTTTTATCCTTTTAATCCGATTAATAAAAAAAAAAAAAAAAAGGTTAAAAACGAAGGATATTTATTTTTCACCTAAAACTCTTTCACATCCGTTAAAAAGTTAACAAACAATCAAGCAAACACTTTATAACTATTAATTTCCCCCTTTTTTTTTCCTTTTTCTTTCCTTTTTTCAAACTTTAACGAGTTTGAAAATGATTTATTTTATTTTTTTTTTTAAATTTGTTTCCGATAATTGAAAACATCATCATCATCATCATCATCAGTATTTTTCCCGTTTTAATAATAATAATAATAATAAACGTTTGACTTTTAATGCGTTAAAAAGCCGCCGACACTACCGGGGTGATAATTTTAACCTTTTTTTTTTTTTTAATTTAAATTATTATTATTATTATTTTTATACGGTCGAATAATAATAATGATAATAAAAATTATTTTTACTTTGCCTTCCGGTTAAACGAATAAATTTTTTTAAAGGTTAGACCATAAAAAAAAAAAAGAAAAATTTTCCTTTTTTTTTTTTTTTTTTTTAACTTTCTTCCGGTTAATTAAATAATTTTCCTTTGAATCAATTCCAAATGAGTAATTTTAATCAACCGATTACATCCGGTTCGTGTGTGTGTGTCTTCCTATTGTTTTTCACTCGCATACTCTATATTTATTATTATTATTATTATTATTTATATTGTTTTTTTTTTTTTTAAACTTTATTTATAAGAATGAATTTTTGCCATTTAATTATCATCACGTGTTTAAGTAATAATAACTGTTTGTTGCAAACAACAACAAATGGGGTTAATGTTAAAAATTATTATTATTATTATTTTTCTTAATTGAATTCTTTTTATGGTTTTTAATTATCGATCGATCGATCGATTTCAAATCGAATTCAATTTTGGATTTATTCTTTTCTGGAAGTGAATCTTGAATTTTTTTTTTTAACCGTGATCGAATTAAAATCCGATTTTCGTTTGGTTAAAAAAAAGTTTTTTAAATTTATTTGGAAAATTTTCCAGAATTGTAAATTCCAGTTTTTTTTCTCCAGTTTTCTGGATTCTTAGGACTCCATGATGATGATAATGATGATGATGACAAGGCTAAATTTCAATATGATTCGAGTTTATCCTCTTTCTTAGAATTCCTTCTTATCATTTTTTTTTTCTTTAATAAAAAAAATTTTATTTGAAACAACAACAACAACAACAACAACAACAATAATAATAATAATAATAATAATAATAATAATAATAATAATAATAATAATAATAATAATAATAATAATAATAATAGTAATAATAAAAAAAGTCAAAAACGATTTGAAACAAAAACAAAAAATCAAAAAAAAAAAAAAAATTTATGAGTATTCCATCCTACCCATCCACCCACCTCCCCTCCCCATCCTCCTCCCCTTTGGGGTAAAATTTAATATGTAATTAGTCGGAATGTTTAAAAACTTTTTTTTTTTTTTTTTTTCATATTAAATTGTTTAAAAACATAAAAAAACATAAAAAACATAAAAAATTTTTAAATCGACAATTAATCCAAACATAAAAAAAAAATTATATATATATTGTTATATTCGGTTCGTTCTTTATTTTTGTAAGTAATGAACAAGCACTTAAAACTATCACTAACAAAACTAATATTAATAAACAAGAACTTATTACAGCTAGACTAAAAATCAAATGAACCAACGCCAAGCTGTGTAGCTTGCCTATATTACTTTGGTCTTTCGTCAGTCAACTGTTTCGAATGTTCGAGCAAACACTTGCAAATAAAATAAAAGAAGGAGTCTTTAGAAGCTTCGCTTCTAAAGAAGAACAATTTGAGTTCGTCGCCAGTCTTTTGTTTATAAAAAGTTGAAAATGTGAATATTGAGTACGGGATCATAACACCTCCCCCCTTAAGACGGAAAACAATTATTTTGAAAAAAGAATTTGTTTTCTCCTCTTGTTCGGATTTGACAGCTTCCTATGTCGGGTTCTGAATGGTTCCGTCCAGGTTGAGACTCCTTGAGTAGTAGTAGGTGCTATGTCTTCTGTATGGTAGACTGTTGTATCTCTTCACATTGGCTTCTTATCAGGAACATAATTTTAAGCTTTATAGCTGCAAGTAGCAGAACCTTTCCTAGGCAATACTCGTTAGTGAACAATGTTACATAAAGAGTAAAGATAAAAGAATAAAATCAAGAGACATGAAATTCGAAACAAAATTGACATAAGTTCTGAAAAATATAAAAATTTTATATAGGAAACATAAATAATGATTAGAAAAAGAATAAATGGATTAATAATAAAATAAATGATGATTAGCTGTATGGGAAAATAAAAGGATTAAATTATTATTATTTTGGATTTCTCTCTCTTTAGATCAACTACTCAGAACACGGTTTTGCGATAAGTAACTTCCTTGTTACGGATTTTTAATAAAACGTTTTTGCCAGATTTTTTCTTGACCTCGTATGGACCCTTAAATTTAGGACTAAGTTTTTTATTTAGATTTCCTCTTGCTAATTTTTGACTGATTTGAATCTTCTCTTTTTCATTAGACGATAGGTGAACTTTACTTAGTAAAAATAGCTTTACCTCAGGAATATTCTCTTCGTGAAAATCGGTTGACATAAGAATGGATGCTTTCTTCCTAGATTTCTTGGTACTGGAATTCCATTTCCGCTTTTTAGTATGCTTCCCAAAATTATACTTGTGAATTTTTTTTGTAGCTCCTATATTTTTATTTGAAATTTTTGTTTCCTTTTGAATTTCAGCTTTAGGATGATTTTTAGGTTTTGAATTCTGTATGGATGATCTTTCTTCTTTTACTTTTAGACCTTTTTTCTTATTTTTATTTTTAGGAAGTAATGGTGCTTCTTTAGCCTTTTTCTTAGATAAATTTGTAGAGGGTGTTTCTTTAGCCTTTTTCTTAGATAAATTTGTAGAGGGTGCTTCTTTAGCCTTTTTCTTAGATAAATTTGTAGAGGGTGCTTCTTTAGCCTTTCTCTTAGATAAATTTGTAGAGGGTGCTTCTTTAGCCTTTCTCTTAGATAAATTTGTAGAGGGTGCTTCTTTAGCCTTTCTCTTAGATAAATTTGTAGAGGGTGCTTCTTTAGCCTTTCTCTTAGATAAATTTGTAGAGGGTGCTTCTTTAGCCTTTCTCTTAGATAAATTTGTAGAGGGTGCTTCTTTAGCCTTTCTCTTAGATAAATTTGTAGAGGGTGCTTCTTTAGCCTTTCTCTTAGATAAATTTGTAGAGGGTGCTTCTTTAGCCTTTCTCTTAGATAAATTTGTAGAGGGTGCTTCTTTAGCCTTTTTCTTAGATAAATTTGTAGAGGGTGCTTCTTTAGCCTTTCTCTTAGATAAATTTGTAGAGGGTGCTTCTTTAGCCTTTTTCTTAGATAAATTTGTAGAGGGTGCTTTTTCCTCTTGAGCAGGAATTGATCCTGGTAAAGAATCTGTTTTCTCTTCAACTTCAAGTTTGGATTCTGGTAAAGAATCTGTTTTCTCTTTAACTTCAAGTTTGGATTCTGGTAAAGGATCTGTTTTCTCTTCAACTTCAAGTTTGGATTCTGGTAAAGGATCCGTTTTCTCTTCAACTTCAAGTTTGGATTCTGGTAAAGGATCTGTTTTCTCTTCAACTTCAAGTTTGGATTCTGGTAAAGGATCTGTTTTCTCTTCAACTTCAAGTTTGGATTCTGTAACTTCTAAAATTTTAAGTTTTTCCCACAATTTTATTGTGTTATCTTCATAGTGGATACATGTTGATTTTTGTCTGCGATTAATCAATTCTTTTATCAGTTGACTATGGGGTTTCTTGTCTTGGTATAATTCTATTAATTTCGTTTTTACGTCATCCCAATTATCAAAATCGTACAAAGAAATTCGAATCTTGGCATTACCAGTGATTCTGGAGTAGATGAATCTGAAGAGTGGATACTTATTCTCTTCAGAGGACAATTCGATAGCATTATCACAATCAGAGATAAATGCATTAAGTTGGTTCCTTTCTCCGGAAAAGAAATTAGGAATTAGACTACACAAGAAATCAAGGGGTATTTGGGATGGGTTGAAAACAGGTTGATCAAGTTTAGGCATTGTTCACAAAATGAGTTACCTATTACTACTACTTACAATATAAAGAAATTCTGATAAAGAGTTAAAACCCACCAACATGAAACGAATTACTTAAGAATTCTCCGGTTTCTTGTCGTTCAGAATGATCCTTCATCGACTGCGCCAAAATTTTAATATGTTATATTCGGTTCGTTCTTTATTTTTGTAAGTAATGAACAAGCACTTAAAACTATCACTATAACAAAACTAATATTAA